CGAGCAATCCCGTTTATTCTTTGTGTTATCTCCGAAGTGCTTTAATAGGTTGACGGGTGTCTTTTCTGACCTAGAATTCCTCTTCTACCTTTTTTTCCCTCTTCTTCATGTTCTCCATTTAATATTTACTACTTCATACATGTGAGTCTTGATCTTCTGGAGATGTTTTTCTGTTTAAAGCGAGCCGTGGCACTCAAGAAAAAGCTAGAATGGGAGCCTGTGCTTGCTCTGTGTGTGATATAATCGGGCTTTTAAGAACATCTGTCAAGTCAGTCAAGTCAATTTTATTTATATAGTTAAAATAAACAAAAATACATTTGCTTAAATGTAACTTTTCAGCAAAACGCATTCTGCTGTACTTACTTGCTAAAATCAATTCAATATAATAATAAGAGCAGAAGATTAAGTGGTGGAAACTAAGGAAAGAGACATGTTGTGAAGACTTCTGGAAGGAAGTAAGGAGGTAAGGAGTGAGGAATTCCCAGATGATTGGGAGACAGCTGCAGTGATTAGGGAGACAGGTAGGAAGGTGCGTTGGGCAGAGAAAGGAGGACAAAGAGACCTGGTGGTGGAATGATGAGATCCAGGAGAGTGTGCAGAGAAAGAGATTAGCGAAGAAGAGATGGGATAGTGACAGAACAGAAGAGAACAGACTGGAGTACAAAGAGAGGACAAGGGAGGTGAAGAGGGAAGTGGCCAAGGTCAAACAAAAGGCATATGAGGAGTTGTACGAGAGTTTGGAAACAAAGGAAGGAGAAAAGGAGTTGTATAGATTGGCGAGACAGAGAAATCAAGCTGGGAAGGATGTGCAGCAGGTGAGGTTGATTAAGGACAGAGAGGGGAATGTGATCACAAGTGAGGAAAGTGTGCTGAGAAGATGGAAGGAATACTTTGAGGAGTTGTTAAATGAGGAAAATGAAAGGGAAAGTAGAAACGAGGAGCCAGAGACTAGTAGGAAGAAGGTAGATCAGGTTAGAAAGGATGAAGTTAGAAAAGCCCTGAAGAGGATGAAGAGTGGAAAGTCAGTTGGTCCTGATGACATACCAGTGGAAGTATGGAAGTGTTTAGGAGAAGTGGCAGTAAATTTCCTGACTGGTTTGTTTAACAGAATTTTAGAGACTGGCAAGATGCCTGATGAGTGGAGAAAAAGTGTTCTGGTGCCAATTCATAAGAAGGGTGATGCACAGAGTTGTAACAACTACAGAGGGATAAAGTTGATGAGCCATACAATGAAGATTTGGGAACGAGTAGTTGAAGCTAGGTTGAGGCAGGAAGTGGAGATTTGTGAACAACAGTATGGTTTCATGCCTAGGAAGAGTACCACAGATGCAATATTTGCCTTGAGGATGTTGATGGAGAAGTACAGGGAAGGTCAGAAGGAGCTGCATTGTGTATTTGTAGATCTAGAAAAGGCATATGACAAAGTGCCAAGGGAGGAATTGTGGTTTTGTATGAGGAAGTCAGGAGTGGCAGAGAAGTATGTTAGTTTGGTGCAGGACATGTATGAGAATAGTACAACAGTAGTGAGGTGTGCTGTTGGAAGCACAGATGACTTAAGATTATCTTAATGGTAAAAGTAAGTAAGTTGGAAATAATTAACTTGATGACTTACTTACTCACTTTCTATATTCAGTTTATGCATATACATAATAATAAAATATAAAAAATAAAATAAAAACATGTGGTATGGCGAGGACCCAACTTGTGCCCTCTGCCCAGCTCCAGCGACTCTCAACATCACATTTGGACCATTACAAGGCCATCCTCAAACAAGGTTGCTGCACCTAGAGGCACAACCAGGTAATCAAGAGTCTGGCAGCAGCTCTTGAGAGTAAAAGAAATGCCATTAATTGCTCGCCCCTGAGAGCAACCAACCCCATCAAAGCACCAACACTCATCCTAGAGCAAGCATGTCCAAACTACAGCCCGGGGGATGCCCGATTGGCTTTTTAATCTGGCCCACCAAAAGTGTCCAAATTGTTTTATTCATTTCTATTATCACTATACTTCTGCCTTTTCCCTACGATGCTTGCATTTCTCTGTAGATGAGGTAGAAAAGGCTTAAGCATTTTAGCCTTTATGACTTTCAGAAAATATTATTTTTAGTTCATACGAATACTCTGACTATTTGCTCCGGACCTGGGCCGTGCCTGTCGTAGAGGGACGGAGAAAGCCAAACCATGCCCTACCATACCAGAAGCTGGACAACTAGTCATGGCGCAGGATTGGAAGACACTAGTTGATATTGTCCAACAACTATCTTCCCAACAGAGATTTTAGCAACCACCCTGTCCAACAACTATTTTCCCAACAGAGATTTTAGCAACCACCCAAAGACCAGACTTTGTATTCCCCTTCAATGAAGTCTGTTAACATCATAGAACTTATGGTCCCATGGGAGAATGCAGTTGAATAGGCCTATAAGCGCAAGAAGCTGAGCTACACAGAACTGGCAGCAGAAGCGCAACAGTGAGGATAGAAGACAAGAATGGAAGGATGTGACTTTTCCACCATGAGCTCCTAAAAGATCTTGGTATCCATGGACAGGCTTTGTGACAGATAATTACATCAGTCGCCAGTAGGTATGGGTGAAACGAAAGGATCCTTGCCAGGACCCGCTCACTTATCCCTACCTACTCTACCTCCCACTTGAGAACCCAAGTGAGATCCCTCGAGGAGGAGGGTTAACTGTTTAGCCCTAGGCTTAAATCATGGGAGAGGATGCCCCTGCCTTGCATAGTCGCATGGGCTTCCCACCTTAAACAACAGGCAACACTCATGATTGGGGTAAAGATACAAGCTCAGGCTTGATCACTCTGTAGTTGGGCAGTTTTGATTAGGGTGTGTATTGTGGAAAGGCCGAAACACCCCCTGATTCAAAGGTACACTACTGATGATGTGTCCCAAAATTGACACCCTTCAAATGGCTGAGCTATAAACCCTTTTACCTTTTTGAAATCATTCGAACTAAATCTTACAATTGTATGATCATGTAAAAAGGCTTTTACCTTTTTGAAATCATTTACAATTGTATGATCATGTAAAAAGGCAGAATATTTAATAGGAGAATATGATACATGTACCTTTCTTTTCCTCATCAACGTCATGTGTACACAGTATTGGCGATTGAGCCGATACCTGGTGAACAAATGGTGTTAAATCTTGGCTGGGTGATTGGAGCTGATGTGTCACATCTATGGAGAAAAACATTTCTCAGTAAAATCTAATACAATACAATAAAAATCCAAAGCAATATACAGTACAGTCGCATGATTACATAAAACAAAAAATCTTTATCCTATTCATCAAAAGATAACAAACAATGTGGTTGATTAATATCCCGTTATCAATTCTTGCTTACACAGGATGGCACAAATACTACAACATTAGAAAGAATAGAAATTCTGTGCCTAAAACTTTTTTTAAAATACATTTGAATGAGCAAAAATACAACTACAACATTACCTTCTTGTGACTTAATGTATTTGTGTTGTTTTGCAAAGACAAGCATTTAATTGCAACATATACACATTATCCGTTACTGTCTAGAAATACATTTATAATTAAGCAAAAAGTTTCGAGTTATAAAGTTTCGAGCTTTGATATGGTTTGAGTTAGCAGAAGATGAAAGTATGAAAAACAACCCAACTTATGTTAGAATTAAATAAATAACTTAATGTAAATTATTTTTTGCTTGTTATTAGGTTAAACACGGAAAGGAAAATTAAAAATCTTATAAAGAAATTATAAATGTACGTTACAATAACACTGTGTTAATATGTTGAATGGCAAAGGTGTAGTTATTTATGTTAATTAAAGCCAATAGAGAAACAAACTCTTTCCATGCATTAAGCCATAGCCAAATAATAAAGAAGTCCAAAGGTTTACCTGTGTGTTTTTCTGCACTTAGCTCCTATAGATGTGAAGACAGTGAGGAGTCAAAAAGGTGAGAGATGCAGGGAGTGAACATCCTGTGTTGCTGTGAATACCCACAATTCATTACCAATCCATTTACCAAGCAAAAAGAAGGCGGTATAATGATTAAAATAATAATTTAAATAAATAATTTAAATCAATTATATAATTTGGACAAGTTTGGTGGCCCCAGATAAAAAGCCAAACGGGCTTCATCTGGCCCCCAGACCGTAGTTTGCCCATGCCTGCTCTATACAGTAATATCAGTGATAGAATCAGTGAACGGGTGTTCCTCTTGCAGTAACCCAAGAACATTGAGCACTTCTTCTGTGGCCCAAGCGCATCTCCAAATGCTTATTGCTAGTCAATACATTTAAATGTGACTAAAAAGTGAAGAATTTAGCAACATAGTAGTAAATTATAGTATAATTATAGTAAAGTAGTGCTAAAGTTCTAGTCACCAAAAAGTCATTTGTGTGTGTGTGTGTGTGTGTGTATATATATATATGTATGTATATATATATATATATATATATATATATATATATGTGTGTGGTGTGTATATATATATATGTGTATATATATACAAACTATATATATAGATGAACAACCTCTTGGTGGTTAATAAACAAGCACCTTTAGTGGTAAATATATGATAACTATTTATTTCTACATTTCCACATTCTGCTGACACAACCAGCAATAGGGAGATGAGATGAAAAGTCTGATCCATGGACGTTGGCATACAAAATAGCAGAGGCTTAATTCGGACCCTAACCACAAGTAACTTCTGTAACTTCTAAAAAAACAACTAAATGAAGCACAAACATTTGATATTGATTTGTTGATATTACTTTTTTTTTTTAGTGGTTCCATAGTGTAGCTATTAGTGGTTATCACACCTGCCCTACATATCTGTGATAATCACCTGCCATATATATATATATATATATATATATATATATATATATATACACAGAG